GCTCGGAAGCGCGTTTAGCCGTTCCAAGTGTGCGATTCTACGTGGCCCTGGCCCCAAAATCACAACTGAGATTACTCGTGCCTGTGTCTTTCCAAGACACGAGAGGAATCGAGAGGAGGCATGCAAATTTCTCTGTCTATACAATAATGAGAAAAGCAAAAGCCAGACTATGCCAGACTATACTGCGTGCGAACTGAATTAAGCCACCCAGAAAGACATAAGTCTTGTGCAAAGGGCAGTCTGCACTTGCATAAAACCATGCACGGCCCGAGCATCCGAGCCGGCTCCATCACTTCTGGCTCTGAGGCGGTGCGGGCATGCTGGCCTCGGCAAAGATGCATGGGGCTGCTTGACTTCCGCTCATCCTACGCACCCCTAAGCCAAGCTGCACGGCTCGACTGCTGGTACAGGTTGTCGAAGTCGGTCTCCACCTCTGGCATGGGCAGACTATGGCTCGATACATCCGCCCTCTGCACCTCGACACGGAGACGGGGCCTCATGCAAAGCATCGATCATGTGGCCCATCTCTTCGTCCAAGTCTGCCACCTCAGCGCCATGGGGAGCACACTGCATGCTAGCAGCAGTGCTCCAAGCCGTCACTCTGCTAGACCGGCGCGTGTAGCGTGTAGTGGCAGTCACTGAACATGCCCCCTGATGTTGCCAAGTTGCAAGGGTAGCGTCGCCCTTGCCCTTTTCGAGATCATGGAGGCGGCTTCCCATGTGGGCCAAGGCACTCTGTGCCTCCTTGAGGTCAGCCGAGAAGCGGTCCTGCAATCACAACTTGGGTCAGAAGCAGAAGCAACTTGGAACTTGGAACTACATCCGCAGACATCGACCCTCCAGAAACACAACAACAGCTCTAGCTTCCGAGCAAGCACGGTACGAGTAGGGGCGCCGAACATGCACAGACACCACGCCTGCTCCAGCTTCTTGATGTAGTCCTTCAGGAGCTGGCGGCAGGCCATGTAGGTCAAGCCCATGCTGCCTGTGACGAAGGCCGGGATCAGAAGTGCCCTGGGGCCCTGCACCAAATTTTCGGAGTAGATCCCAATGAGCCCACCGAAAAGGTAGAAGGTCCACAGCCCAGACAGCACTGTCAGCTTCTGCGCATCGACCCCGATCTCTGCGCGCTCGATGTCGGTCAACTGGCTGCAGCGGCAGGCTCTCCTCAGGTAGATCATGCTGATGCGCCCCATGGTCGATCCGATGTCGGTCATGGTGCCAGTGACCTGGTGCGAGAGCGTGTGTAGCGTATATGCACTGTCGTCATACATCCCCTTTCAGCGTTCCTGCCGGGGTTTGCCTCCTCTCACATGCACATACACATACTACCAGTAGCCGAGGAACGTGTGTCGTGCGGATGATGGCTCCGAAGTGAGACGTGCACATAGCATTCTGCAGACCGCACGCAGCGGCCACGAGGCAAGCAGGGACCAAGCGACCTTGCACGAAGGCCGCAGACACCAAGAGGGCCGAGTTCAGAACCAGGGCCAAGCCGTAGAAAGCTTTCCTGTCAGGGTTGCAAGCAGTCAACCCCTACAGTAGACCCACACTGCGCGATCCAGGTCTTCGTTCGGGAGTCGTGAAAAGGGAAAGGGAAGCTGTGACAGGCCAGTCTTAAGGCGGGCTTCCCCAGGAAGTGAACTTGGTTCTTGTCGATGAGGATTCCGCAGGTGTATGCTCCAACCAGGAAAGAGAAGACCAGCGAGCAGGCTTCCTTCAAGGTCTCGGAACCATACTCACCCTGCTGGTAGCCCTCCAGTCGGAAGGCAATGTTCGAGGTGCTTCCGGTAACGTGCGAGGCATACAGACTCCAGGACTTGTAAGCAATGACGTTGGCCGCCCCTGCACATGCGGCCAAACACCAACCAAAACCCA